AAAAAAAAAAATTTTTTTTCTACGGCAACTTGAAATTTGATTATTTTCCTTTAATTACGACTGAAAACGAGAAAAATCAGCGTATTTAAGTCCTTAAAATCATAACGATTGCTTAAGTACCCCATTTTGCCCCCCCCTCCCCTAATATATATTTTAAAGATATAAGCTTATCCCGATGTTACACTCATCAAGAGCTTTCATTTGAGTACCCACATGCATTTTTGATATATTATTCATATGTACATATATATAATATATATAAATATATGAAAAATTGATGTGGGTACTCAAATGAAACGTCTTGATGAGCGTAACATCGGGATGAGCTTATATCTTTAAAAATGTCAATGGTTCACAAGAAACAGGGTCATTTCTTAATTATGTATCTAGAGATAGAGCATTTTCGAATGCAGACTAAATACTTATCATAATAAATTGACTATCGGTGAGAATGATATAAAACCTTGAAAAGACAAAAATTCAAGTCAAGACCTTTGCAGTGACAGTAAATATATAGTATAGGAAAAATTTCTATATGATTATGAGAACTATTCCCGTGATGAATGGGAAAAGTGCCTACAATTTTCTTTCCGTGTACTTGAAAATTATTGAATTTTCGATAAATTTTTTCATAGAATTCAACAATATTAATTACTATCCTTGATAGTAAATATTATCATCCTGATAGTAAATATAACCATCCTGTTATCATCCTGATTGTAACTGTTACTATAAAAAATAGTAACTGTTTTCATAAAAAAATAATAACACTATCTTTGCATTGAAAAATGTTTCAATCATCCTAGATGATTGGAGCTACAAATTTAGTATAACAACCCCTATCATTTAATTTTCTCCGTGTAGAGATAGAGCATTTTCGAATGCAGCCTAAATACTTATCATAATAAATTGACTATTGGTGAGAATGATATGAAACCATGAAAAGGCACAACTCCAGGTCAAGACTTTTCTAACAATACCAAATTTAACCATAAAATCCCATTTTATCATATAAATAAACTGGCTACAAAAGTTTGCTTATTATCTTAATAATATAGATTAAAAATATTAAAGTGTCAAAAAATTTTTTAATAATTTCCCAAAAAATTTACTTTTACCCCTCCTAACATTCTTCCGAACAAAAATATTTACCCCAAGCGAAAAAAGAAACTCTAATAAAATCCCGAGCAACTAAAATATGAATCTCTCTCAAAAAATACACATTTAAACATCTAGGTTACTTTATCCCCCAAGGGTGGTATTTAACCAGCCTCTTTCTCGCCTTTCGTTCACACTTTCGCGGCAATCTCAATCTCACGTTCGAGCAAACCTCCAGTGCACCCAAAACTCAATAATTCCCCAGAATAAACACTGCTCAGCTAACCACCCTCAAAAACCAAAACACCCATAAAAATGAATAAAAAAGTAGAATCACTAAGTGATCACTAAGTCCTCCTTGTACTCCCTCGCACTTACAATATCTGTCACGCACAATATCGACCCTGATCCTTATCGACCTCTCACTCTCACATCGTATGTCAGGCAGTAGTACTAGCAGAGTACGAGGAGCCCCTCTCTCTTCCCCTATCTGCTCTCACTATTTCTTCTTATCCAAGAAAGACATTAACATCGCACGTCCTTATCTACATCTATAGAGCTTTCGTGACGTAGGAGGAAAATAGAGGAAGAGGAAGAGGAAGTAAAGGTGACGTTGCCCGTCCACTTTAATCCACTCTTTGCACTACCCCATTGCCTAGTAGCCTAGTATGCCCTCGCGACCTCGAAACATCTTTACAAGCGGATCTCTTCTTCCCTTCGTGTCTCTCCCGTTTATTTTATTTATATATTATTAAAATTAATTTATTAAAATTAACATTATTATTATTATTATTATTATTATATTTATTTTATCATTTTTACGCATTAAAAAAATTAAATAAAATTTTTTTCTCCTTTTTTTAAAACTTACAAAATAATTTTTCTCCAATAAAAAATAAAATTTAATTAAAATTACCTTAATTTTAAGTAAATAATGAAAGCTCTCGTTGCATTAGCCCACCTCCGCCGTAATCCATCGTCAGGCGTGTCTAGTCCTTTCTCTTTCCACGTATGTCCTTAGCTTTCTCCCCTGTATGGGGGACACTGACTGGAAATCCACTTAATTCACTCCGAAAAAAATCAATAAATTTTTATCGGGAAAATTAAAATGAAACTTGGTAATTATTTTGAAAAAAATCACTCGGAGGAAATAATCTAGTGATTATTTGTCCTGTTTCACTGCGCCGGATGGTGCTCATATGCTAGCTGGGACACGAGTAGCGACCGCGACCGCGCGCGAGTACGTCGGGCCTTTACCTAGCGGCTCATCATGCGTCGGGATGACGATCAACGCGCCTGCTCCATGGGCATCTGATGTAGTTTGTATGTGTGGGCGACCGAGAGAGTGTAAGTGGTCAACCCCACCTTAAGACACTATTACGTGCCAATCATTGTGCTGATTTTTTGCTTATTTAGCTTCGCGGTGGTTCTACCTAGTGAGAGCATAAGCTGCGATGATCGAGGACTTTTTTATTTTTTATCAATGATTATCTGATTTGATAGGGTTAAATTTTCTTTTGATGTTATTGAGGAGAGTTTTATTATTTTAGAGGGTAATTGATCATTTTTTTAATTAATATTTGTTATTTTGATAAAAAAAACAAATTGATTGAATTTTATAAATTTTTAGAGTAATAATATCGACTAGTAACTTTGCAGTCACTATGTGACTTCCGTGACTTGTGAAAATTTTGCTTTATTAAATAATGACTTTTGTTAAATTGCATTGTACGTTCTTAAAAATTGATATTTTTAAAGATATAAGCTCATCCCGATGTTACACTCATCAAGAGCTTTCATTTGAGTACCCACATGCATTTTTGATATATTTTTCATATATACATATACATAAATATATAAAATATATGAAAAATTGATGTGGGTACTTAAATGAAAGCTCTTGATGAGTGTAACATCGGGATGAGTTTATATCTTTTAATTTTATATATTTTTCATATGTATATATACATATAATATATATAAATATATGAAAAAATGATGTGGGTACTTAAATGAAAGCTCTTGATGAGTGTAACATCGGGATGAGCTTATATCCTTAAAAATGTCAATAGTTCACGAGATACAAGGTCATTTCTTAATTATGTATCTGGAAGTAGAGCATTTTCGTTATAATCTTATTGCTTATTATAAAGTTTATGAAATTAATAAATTTTTTTTATTACAGCCGATTTATTGAAAAGAAAATTATGTATTTTTGTTATAAATAATTAGAAGACAATTAAATAAATTTAGAAGAAATAAAATAACAATATTAAATATTGTTTATGGAATTTTTTTATTCAATAAACTCTTACAAAATTTTAGATATTTAAAAATTTTATTTTAATTTTTTTTATTCTGATAAAAATATTAATTTAATTCAAAAGAAAAAAATTTTTAACTAAATAAATTATTCTGAAGAGTTAAAGGGAGAAAAATTTTTGAATTAAGAATTTCATTCTTCCTTCAAAAGAATTAATTCTTTATAATTCCTTGAAATAATTTTCTTAAAAATTTTTTTTTTCTAATAAATTTAATTTTTAATAAAAAAAATTCAATTTTTCAAGTAAAATTTGTTTCCTCAATATTATAATAAAAACTTAAATTTAATAAGCCAACCATCTTCTAGGATTGTCAATAGTAATAGTATCAATTTCTTGAGCAGTAAATCCCCTGGCTGGCATTCGGGGTAGAATGTTTGTATAAATATGAGAGTAGCCATGTCCTCCAAATTGAACCTGCAAGAGTTATTTTTTTATTCTCTCTCTCTTAAAATAAGTCTAAAAAAAAAAAAAAGATCAATTTAATTTACCAGTCGATGCTTGGTATGAATATCGTGACTCATGAGAACCTGCTCGACTCCACGATCCTGCTTTATCCACCCAATCCTATCAAGTCTCTGAGCATCCGAAGGCATGTCTGTCTTCTCATCCAGCTGGTAGTACGAGCACTCAGTCCCGAACAAATCAAATTGGGTGTAACAGCCCAGTTTCGCGAACTCTAAAAGCTCGTCTTTTTTCATCAGCGTTCCTAAAAAATTACATTAAAAATATTATTTATCACTCCAAATAAAACAATTAATTTCTTCTTTTACTTAAAATAAAAAAAAAATTAATTTAACTAACTGTCTAAATGAGACATGACAGCTTTCTTGCTATCACCACCAGCTTCTAGATAAATTCTCATTATTTCAAAAGGCGCTTGGGAATTCCTTCCGGGGTGGAAAGACACTGGGCAGTTTAGTTGTTTCTGGACTTTAGCTGTAGCACGTATCGCCTTTTTTTCAAACTCTAGATAAAAAAAATAGGCAATAATTGTAATTAATAAATTGATTTAATATCATTGAAGATTATTATTATTTATTTATTTTTTTTTTTTTATAAAATACTCACCAGTTATCGGCCAAGAACTTCCAACTTCGCCGATAAATCCTGCCTTGATACTCGGATATTCTTCACAACCCTCTGTTAATTCCTTCAAGATTAAATTGTACATTTGCTCTTCATTTATTAAATCCTTCTGACAGGCTTCGACATAATGACCTGTAAATAAAAATTGAATTTTATTTTTAAAATTTCAATTGAAAATTCTTTATTGAAATAAAAGAGTCAGTATTTAGGAGGAAAAAAGCGACGTTTTTATAATTCTAAAGAGACTTTTTAATTGATTAATATGAAAATTGTTAGATATATAGTAGGAACTTTTAATTTTATTAATAAGTTCTTTTTTTTACAAATAATGATTTTTCTAGCTCCTGCAGACGATCTCCGGAAGGTTCTCTAAAAAAGGTTACTTGCGGCGAGCACGATATCTTAACTTTGAATCATCGAAATTCAAAAATCCAAAAAAGATCCACTAAAATAAAATATTACTCAGTGATTAATCCAAGGAATTATAAAAATATCTATTTTTAACAAATAGGCGGGTTGACAAAAAAAATTAACAATTTTCAATGAAAATTTTAGCCTTAAATTGTTTAAAAAAATCTAAAATATTCATCGGAATTACCAATCCTTGGATCAATTACTGAAAAATATAGTTAAGAAAATAGTTTCTAAATTAGAGACTGATTTTATCAGTGGTTGCTCGATAAATCTTGCTCACCGACTTTTAAAATCGAGTTTTGAGAAAACGGCGCTTAAAATTGTCCGGGCTCAGCCCAATTGAAGTTTTAACGCTCCGATTAGGCTTTGCAAATATCCGGATAACTTTTAAAATACTTGTCCGATTGACATCAAATTTTCTGTGTACATACTTAAATATATCTAGATTATAAAAATGAAATTAAAAAAAATTAATTTTTTTTTTAATTCCAAATAGTTAAGACCCCTTAAAATTTTCCTTCTAATAAGTAAATAATAGATAACTTTTATAATAATAAAACTCACCGGTACCAACTATAATATTAACACCAATCTGTTGACTAACTTGAACCATCAACGGAATATCGCGTTTAATTCCATGACTAGTGTTCTCCACAATAGTCCCACCGCCGTGTAACTTGAATAATTTAATCTCCTCGAAAATAGCCTTCCTAGTATCTACATCATTAAAAGTAACATTGTAACGACTGCTGTAAGGGTACTGTCTGACGAACCCGAGGTTCCCTATATCAAAGTTGGCTCTAAAGTGCTTCGAAAGTTCCCGAGGCGGCGGAACGTAGAATTTGTCAAAATCCAGCGCCAGATGCTCGTGAGTTAGTGTTCTGCCGAGCTTAGACAGTTCCGTTGACCCGAGAACTGAAACAAAAAGTTTTTATGTACTGATTAATTATTAATTATGCTCAGCTTTAAAGTTGTTTAATTAGTCTGCTTACACTTGAGTCTTACCTGTTTGCACGCTACCAGCTGGAGTCATTATCAAATAATATGTCTTGCGCTTATTACAATAACAAGTTTACTTTCAAGATAGTTGTTATATGTCGAATGTGTTTATTTACTGAGTTGTATTAAATCTACCGTTATCGCTTGCCAGATAACTTTCTTTACTCATATTATAAATTATTATATTAAATGCTATGAATATTTTATTATTTATCAGTATGTCATTTTGTTTTTTTTTTTTTAATTAATAAGATAATATTTTTTAATAATATATAAAATATTTTTTTAAATAAGATTTTTTAATTTATAATTAAATTAAAAAAAAAATTTAATTAATAATTTTTAATTCAAAACTAGCAACCTTGCAGTCACTATGTGACTGCGGCGACTTGTGAACTATAAATAATCAAAATTTTGATTAATTAAATAATGAATTTTGTTAAATTGCACTTTACTTTCTTAAATATTGACGTTTTTAAAGATATAAGCTCATCTCGATACTACAGTCATCAAGAGCTTTCATTTGAGTACCCACATGCATTTTCATATATTTTTCATATATATACATATATATAATATATATTTTAAAGATATAAGCTCATCCCGATGTTACACTCATAAAGAGCTTTTATTTGAGTACCCACATGCATTTTCATATATTTTTCATATATACATATATATAATATATAAAATATATGAAAAATTGATGTGGGTACTCAAATTAAAGGTCTCGATGAGTGTAATGTCGGGGTGAGCTTATATCCTTAAAAATGTCAATGGTTCGCAAGATACAAAGTCATTTCTTAATTATGTATCTAGAGATAGAGAATTTTCGAATGCAGCCTAAATACTAATCATCATAAATTGACTATCGGTGAAAATGATGTGAAACCTTGAAAAGGCACAAATTCAAGTCAAGACCTTTGCAATGATACTAAATTTCACTAAAAAAAACGGATTTATCATATGACTATTCTGGACACAAAATTTTTCTTGTTCTCTTAGTAATATAGATTATTAATTAATTAATTTAAAAAATAATAATGTTAATTTAGGAGCAATTAGAAATTATTTAATGAACAAATGTGTCAAAAAAAATTTATGGAACCACCAACTTATTAAAAACTGCTCCAAAAATTTAACATAGAAAATTTACTATCATTAAAAAATATATAAACCAAGTTTTTATCAAAATTTTGATAATACCAAATTAAATTAAAAAAATTTCTTTAAAAATAAAAATATTCAAATCATAAATATCGCTGAAAAAATATCAAAACCAATTAACAATAAAAAAATTTTTCTTAGTCTCTTAATTATATAAATTAATTTTTCACACACAACCACATTCACATATCGATGTTCTAATTAGCAAATTGTCTAACTCCATTTTAGAGAATTTTCCATTTGCACGATAAAAAAATTAGTTCAAAATTTACTATCGCTTTAAAAAAACCATTTAATATCTAATAGAGGTATAATATTTTGGTTTAGATCATTCAAATAATTTGTAATTGGACTAATGCTACATTAAAATGTTAAAAAATCACCTTCTAAAAAATAAGAAGTTAGACCAATTGCTAATTAGACCGTCGATATACAAAAAAAATAAATAAACAAAGTTTTTTTATCGCGAAACTCCAATCTATTTATAATTACGTTGAAAATCTACCATAATAAATTAATTATTTTATAAAACCATATAAAACATTAAAAAAACACAAATTTAGATCAAGATCTTTCCAATGATACTAAAAAAAAACTTATTTCATAATATAAATACACAGGAGACAAATTTTTCCTTATTAATAATTAAAAAAAAAAAATCACAAGACAAGGAAAAATAAAAATGAAATTTCAAATTTATCATATCCTTTAATTTAAATAATCCTGAGCTGCAAAACGTTGAAAACACTCAAGATTACAACTCTTGATATTCAATCCGATTAAATAATTTATTTTACCACATATATATATATATATATATATATATATATATATATATAATATATAGACATACACATACGTATATAAACCAGATTACCAATTATTAATATAATAGTTCTCCATATTAATAATCAATACCGGGAATATACATATATGTACATATATATACACATATTTTATAGCTACAGCCCCACTAGTGTCAATCGAGCGATCTCAGTCACATAATAATTAAAATTATTTTATTTGAAGCTGACTCGACGTCTATGTTCCGATCAGATCGTCAACGACCAATTGCACTCGTTTATTAACTTGATTTTATTTAAATAATCGTATTTAAAGGGCTCTTTACAGCCAACTCATTTATCGTTCATATTTATATATATATATATTATCAATTATAATTATATAGTTATAATAATAATAATAATAATAATAATATAATATAGAGTAATTAATCAATTAATTTTTTAATTAATTAATTAATAATTATAATAGTAATAACGATAAAATACTAATAATTTACATTTACACAAGACTCTCGTATTTTATTCCCTCGATCCTTTTCTTTTTTTTAATATTCAGTCGTTACTATATTTATTTAAGTTGATAAAAACAATTAAATCTCAGTAATAAATTTGTTTGTATGTAAAAAAAAGAAACAGATAAAGAAGACTCGAAACAAGTACAAAAACAATTAAATATACAAGACATTAAATATACAATGTACAGAATTATAAAGCAAAAAATATTTAATTCCGTTTATTTAGAATTTTTGTAATTAAATTTTTTTTTGCCCTCTTGGTCTTACACATTATATTAAATCACGATGTGTTTTACTTAGTGTAATTAATTACACACTTGACAGTGTGTTATACTTAGTATAATTAATTAATTAAATAATAAATAATGATATTAATAGTAATAATAAATTTACTGCGACCTTTGACACGCGTTTATTAATGATCATTTTTTTAAATGTCTTTATTATTGAAATAAAAACTAAAATATTTTATGGGACTCTTATGGTGGGTCTCTTTGATTCCTCACGACTTTCTAACTCTTTTTATTTTAAATAATTATTTGATGGTTTTTTATTTTTGCTTTTTGTGTATTTTTATTTTTTTTTACGTCAGTAGATGCGACGATAACGATGACGATTACGATTATGACTAAGGCGGTGGCGAGGTCGTTGAAGCCGTCTCAGACGGTAACGAGCTAGTCGACGGCGACGGATACTGGAGTTCAATCGGTACGCAAGCAAACTCACGTGGCTTGCTCGGAGCCTTCATAAGCTGTCATCGCTGTCATCTTGATTTGTTACTACGCTTATTGTACTTGCGAGACCGCTGACCTCGGCCGTTAATTCACCACCTCCTTCTGTTTCATGTTGGGTTATATTTTGACCCTGTTGCTCGTTTCCTGAAAAATTTAATAATCAAAATTTATTCAGTGTTTTTTATTTAAAAAAAAGAAAAAAAAAGTTTTTTATTTTATCACAGAAATAAATAAAAAAATTAGTTACCAGGATTAGCAACTGGCGTTTCTTCATCACCTTGTCCAGGACTTAAAATAGCTTCTTTAATTTGACTGTTAACGCCTTTGGGGTCTAAATCCGTAGCCCAACTGAAGTACATCAGCGCCAAATGAGTATTGCCAAGTTTTTTATGAACCTACGACCAAAAAAAAATTAATGTTATTAAAACTGGGCCCATAACCTTACGGTAGACCTAATATTACGGCAATTTAAAGATAAAAATTTGAATATTTAGTATTATATATTCTCCATCAATATTAAATACGTACACAGAAAAAAAAATTTACTTGAATGAAAAATAATTTTGAAAAACTTCAATGATATATAAGTTAGCCTTCAAAAATTTTTGTATTTTTTTCAATAATTGAATTGCAAGTAAAGAAATAATTAAAAAAAATTTTTAATATAATTTTTTAAGTCTTCTACATGTGAAATTTTTTCAATAAAAAAAAATAGCAACCGTGCAGTCACTATGTGACTGCCGTGACTTGTTAACTAAAAAAAATTAAAATTTTGCTTTATTAAATAATGAATTTTGTTAAATTGCACTGTACTTTCTTAAGTATTTACGTTTTTAACAATATAAGCTCATCCCGATGTTACACTCATCAAGAGCTTTCATTTGAGTACCCACATGCATTTTGAAATATTTTTCATATATAAATATATATAATACATATATTGAAGATATAAGCTCATCCCGATGTTACACTTATCAAGAGCTTTCATTTGAGTACCCACATGCATTTTTGATATATTTTTCATATATACATATATTATAATATATAAAATATATGAAAAATTGATGTGGGTACTCAAATTAAAGGTCTCGATGAGTGTAATGTCGGGATGAGCTTATATCCTTAAAAATGTCAATAGTTTACAAGATACAAGGTCATTGATTAATTACGAATCTAGAGATAGAGAATTTTCGAATGCAGCCTAAATACTAATCATCATAAATTGACTATCGGTGAGAATGATATGAAACCTTGAAAAGGCACAAATTCAAATCATGACCTTTGCAATGACACTAAATTTCACTAAAAAACCCGATTTATCATATGACTATCCTGGACACAAAATTTTTCTTATTATTTTAATAATATAGGTTATAAAAATTTTTAGATTTCGGCTAATTTAATTTTCATAGAATTTTATCTTGTTGATTTGAGTAGAAACTTTTTCAAGCTAAGAAACTTTTTTCTGGTTTAAGTAAATTTTTTTTAACTTAAGAACTTTTTGTCTTGATTAAAAACAATAAAATTATTTTCTTGTTTCAAAATTTTTTCTCTTGATCCAAATTAATTTTTTCTTTCAGTACTTATATAAAATAATTTTTTTTTAAACCCGACCAAGAATTCAAATTTTTTTATTTCTATTAATCAAAAAAATTTTTTTTTTTAAATCTAACCAAGAGTTCAAATTGTTTATTTTTACTAATCAAAAAAATATCAAAAAAACTCACCTTTCCTATCGAATAATAGACTAGAGATTCTTTGGGTGCGATATTTTTAAGTTCTTCAAACTCTCTAAGCGCCTCATTGTACCGTCCAATGGAGAAATTAATACTAGCCCTGTGAAACTTGCACAAAGTATTATCCGGAGCATTAGTAATCGCAACATTGAGAGTCCTGAGTGCAAGATCTGTCTTCTTCAACGCATGTTGAACGACTCCAATGTGGCACATAATAGCCGAGTGATACGGATTGATCTGCAGCGCTCTCTTGAAGTGAACTTCAGCTAAGCTGTACTGTTCCTGCTTAGAATAAATAGTTCCCAGCCCAAACCAAGCATTGTAGTGCCTGGGATCCAGCCTGATCGCGTTCCTAAACGCATGAACAGCCTTCTCCAGTTCCTCAGTCAACACGTACTCGTGTCCTAGCAGCGTGTAGGCGTAGGGGAAATTAGGATCGACCTGGATCGCGCGCTGGAAGAACTTTATCGCGGTTTCGTGCTCGGTCTGTGCAGAAAAAAGATTACCAGTCGCGCACCAGGCCGCAGGAGAGCTGCGATCTTCAGCGACCAGCTCCTGAGCCAAGGTGGACAGCTGGACTTCGGAGTGCAAGTGCCACAAGACAGTGCTGTAGATCTCCATCAGGTCCATTCTCTGTGGCTCCAACTGTCTGACTTCCGCGAAGTAATTCGCGGCTTTTTTGTAATCATTCATCTCGAAGTGAGCTCGAGCCAGCATTGACAAGACCCAGCCTGTGTTGTAATGATGCTTTGGGAGCACACTCAAAATTTCTACGGCCTGGGAGCAGTTGAACTGACTCAAGTGCTGATAAGCCAGCCCCAGTTCTCTCAATAGCGACATCAGACCTTCTGCACACTGTTTTTGAACCAAAACCGCGCACTGCTGTTGAGTAGCACAATTGCTATTGCTGTTATTATTATTACTGTTATTATTACTACTGTTATTGTTGTTGTTATTGGTATTACTATTTTGATTCAACGCATTTGTTGTAGCGACCATTTTTTCAGAAGTTATTGTCTCACTTTTCTCTTTATCGCTTCTGTTGCGCTCGTTCAGTTCGTTGAATGTCGCTTTGTTTAGGTTAGTCTTCGACAGACGAGCTTTGGTCTTCCGAGACGGGGACTTTGGTGTCGTGAACTTGTTCCTGTTTGGAGATTTGTTGTTCTCTTTCACGGAATAGCTGTGACTGAACAGTCTAGAAGAGCGCCGCACGTTTGGACCCTGGAGAGTTGGCGCTGCTGGTGTTGGGGTTGTTGGTGTTACTGTTACTATGTTCGCCGTGTTGCTTGTGTTTCCTGACTGGGAAAACACAGGCTTGCCTTGCTGCAATGGAGTCTCTTTTCTTGACATAAATTGCTAAAAAATATTTATTAGATTAATTGATAAGCATATTGTTAATTTTTTTTTTTTTTTTTTGGTAAATTTGGGGGAAATTATTCAGTTTTTAAGTTAAGTTTTAAAATGGAGTGTTGAGAATTTAGGGCAAAATGGTTTTTAGCTGGAGATAAATTTTAATAAATTATAAAGTTTGTAAGTTAGATAGTGGAAAAATTTAAAAGTATTCTGCTGCAGAATTGAAGATTTATTAATATTTATTGACTAGGTCACCGAGTTATAAAGAAATTATAAAGTAAACTTTTTTTTTCTAAAGAATAATAATTCAAAAGCGAGTTATTTTGTGAGAATTTTGATAAAAAATTAACTTTCTTCTGCAACCAACCGTTGGATTCTCACTGAAAGCAGTTTATACGTTACTCTGTGAATAATTGAAAGCTGAAGCTTTGTAATTAGTCTTCGACTTTTTTATCTATATGAAAAATTTTTATAAATACAAAATATACTGATGAAAAAATTTAATTTAAAAAAAAAAATTTGGGCCAAAAAATTCATTTTAAGAATTTCAATCAAGAAAAAATTTTAAAACTAAAAAATTATCTTTGATTTGACTTTAATTTTTTTGGTAATTATTTACAAGTGGGGTCCACCCTATTTTTGGCCATATATAGGTGAAAAATTAACATTTTCAAATTTTTTTAAAATTCTGCTTGTTTTTGCTATTTCTTTTTGAAAATTACATAAAAAACGAATAATTTAAAAAAAATGTTGAGTATCACAATTTTCAAAAAAATTGATAAATTTTTTTGAAAATTTGTAAAATTTCTTAAAATTGTGATAATCAACTTTTTTTTTTTTAATTGTTCGTTTTTTTATGTATTTTTCAAAAAAACTATATGAATATAATCAAATAGAAATTTCGTTTAAAAAAATTAAAATTAAAATGGTGGACCCCCATTTATAAATATTCACCAAAATATATAATTGACAAAAAAAAAAATAAATACTTACACCTACATGAGCACGAAGACTACTGACACGTTTAGCTAAGCTTTTCTGATCATTAGACTCTGTTAAGGTAACTAACGAAGGTAGTACTGTTGGTTCTGGCGTATTATTGTCCAGCGGAAGAATTCCAAAACTTGGAGTGAGAGGACTCATCGAATTACTAAACATACTGCGATATCGCTGAGGTTTGCTGCGAGGTGATATCGTCGAGAGGTTTGTGTAAAAAATAGCCTGTGGTTGGGGACTTTCTTCTATTGAGGGGTGCAATCTCGCACCCTGATTATTTCCATTGACAATCACAGCCTGCGTTGGAGTCCTGGATAAAACAAACCTCGTTAATTACCACTTAAATAATTCCCACTAATTAAATGATATCAGGTCTCTTGATATCCCGGCAAAATATCTCGACAAAATGTCCCCGAATAAAATATCACTGCGACAAAATATTTAAATATATAAATATTAAACTTTTTAAGATAACTAGCAACCTTGCAGTCACTATGTGACTTGTGAACTATAAATAAATAAAATTTTGCTTTATTAAAAAATGACTTTTGTTAAATTGCACTGTACTTTCATAACTATTGACGTTTTTAAAGATATAAGCTCATCCCGATGTTACACTCATCAAGAGCTTTCATTTGAGTACCCACATGCATTTTGAGATATTTTTCATATATACATATATATCAAATATATAAATATATGAAAAATTGATGTGGGTACTCAAATGAAAGGTCTCGATGAGTGTAATGTCGGGATAAGCTTATATCTTTAAAAATATCATTAGTTGACAAGATACAATGTCATTTTTTAATCATTGACATTTTTTAGGATATAAATTCATTTCAATATTACACTCATCGAGACCTTTCATTTAAGTACCCACATAGCATTTTTTATATATTTTATATATATGGTATTTGTGAAATATATAAAATATATGAAAAATTGATGTGGATACTCAAATGAAAGGTCTCGATGAGTGTATTGTCGGGGTGAGCTTATATTTTTGAAAATGTCATTAGTTCACAAGATACAAGGTAATTTCTTAATTATGTGGCTAGAGATAGAGCATTTTCGAATGCAACCTAAATACTTATCATAAAAAACTGACTATCGGTGAGAATAATCTGAAATCTTGAAAAGGCACAAATTCAAGCCAAGACTTTTGCAATGACATTAAATTTTACTAAAAAAACCGATTTTATCACATAACGATCCTGGCCACAAAATTTTTCTTATTCTCTTAATAATATAAATGATTTTAAAACTTCAATGTTTATTAATCCGTTGCTACGCTTAAATAACCGCAGACAAAATCCGTAAAAAAGGTCACAGCTCGATAAGCTTATGTGTTGGTCTACTGTTGAATAAATCATGATAAAAGGGTAAAATTTGATATTTTTTTTTTTTTTTCAAATATATAGTTTCGAATTGTTTTATTGAAAAAGTTAATTATTTAAGATATTTTATCCGGGATATTTTGTCGAAACATCAGGAATCATAGAACCAATTAAATTATCACTTCAGAGTTAATTAAAACTCTTCAGATAATCATAAAATAATTTAACTAAACAAAAAAATAAATCTTACATATTGATGTTTGGCGTGGGCGTGTTGGGAAGAATGACATCAGGCTCGGAAATATAGTTAAGCTGGTTAGTGCCGTGACACATGGCGAAGGTGTCTATTTTTTCCAACTGAAATACTTTGTTGGGGTCAACCTTCTCGCCGACATTACAGAGCTCCTCGAAAGAGTGCCACAAAAATGGGTTCAACTTTAATGCTAATTTATGCGCTTCGTTGGCTTTTGAAGTTCTTGTCAATTTGTAGTATACTTTAGCTATTATTTGGAGTGAAAAGCACGCTTGGTCGCCGAATTGTAAAACTATGTCGTCTAAATTTTTAACTTGTTTGTAGTAACCTCCGACAATAGCCGCCTCGGCTTCCGCCCATTTTTCTAAATCATAGCAGCATTTCGCGAGAAGAAAACGACACTGCGGTGTGCTCGGTGATTTTTTTGTCAGCAAGCCGTACGCTTGTCGTACCCTCCCAGCGCGGTAATAACATGTGGCTAGTAGAAATAGTGTGTCCTCGTTGTCCACTGAAATTAATATTATTGTTATTAATTATTCCATTTTTTATCTTTAAATTATTTAATTAGAAAAATAGCTCAAGGTGATTGAAATTTTATATGTTTAAAAAAAAATAATTACCTTCAGCAAAAAGTCTTTCTGATAGAAAAATAGCGTCATTGTACGCGTAATGATTGAGACAATGCCATATGGCAGCCTATAAATAAATAAATTTTTTTTATTAATAACCAGTTATTAAAAATCAATATAGTGACGTTATTCTTTTTGTTTTTTTATAAATTATTCGCTATTCAGACTGTCAAATAAATACAGTACAATTAATATCCGCCCTCAATTTAATAATACAAAATAACGCTCTAGTTTTCAAATATTATAAAAGTTCTCGAGGAAATTAAAATCTCAAGTAATTAAATTTTATTACTTGTAATTCAAAATTTAATAAAAAAGAGTTTTGATCGGAAATAAAAATTGATCGAATTTTAAATTTTAATAAATTTTTTTTTTAAATACTATAAAAAATATCTGACAATTTTTTTTAACCACTTGAAAAAATTCATTAATCATTTTTAAAAGTTTTGCTTGTGAAATTATTTTTAAAATATCTTTATAATTTATTTTTAGAAAAAAAAAATTCCTGTATGATTTTATGAATTTTTTTTACAAATGCTAATTTCAATATCATTCAATTTTTATCTAAATAATAATAATAACAAAATATCTGACAATTATCTAAAACATTTACATAATTTTTATTTCTGTTATTTTTCTAAAAATTTTTTATGAAATATAACTTTAAAAAAATGACACTGAAATTAGCAGACACTTTTTTTATTTATCTTCAAAAATAAACTATTTTTAAAAAATTTTATTTATCATTTTTGACAGCTTTTAATTGTGAAATGTTTTAAATAAATTTTTCTTTCATTAATTTATTTGTTAAAAAAATAATCAGATGTCTAAATTTCAATATAATTAAAAAAAAATGAAAGTTAATTTAGCATATATTTAATAATTTTTAAAATTCCATAACAAATAAATTATGGCAAAAAAAAAAATTATGTAAAAAATTGACATTTGTAAATTTTAAAAAATAAAAAATGCAATTTTTTAAAAATGATTTTGTGGGACAAATTTTTTTGTTAAATAAAATTAAAGAATTATTAAGTAACTGCTAACTTTAATGTCATAAAAAAAAATATTCTCTATAAATAACTAACAGTGTCGACATTGAATAAAATAATTTATAAATTGGGGTAATTGAAAGTATGTCTCAAAGGAGATTAAAATTGGAATATCGATATGTTAAATTGTCAATAAGTGTAAATGTAGATGCGCAGACTAGAGACTAGACTACATACACAATTTCACATCGCATTTGTACATGTACACTCATACACCGCGAAACATTCACATATACATGCCCAAAGACGTAACACACGTTGACTGGACGTTTAGAAAATATAATTCAATGAATAAAATGGAGAAAAAAAATCCAATTAATTAAGAGCGCTGACAAATAAATATCCTGAGTGGTCTGTCTGAATTTGCTATTTGCTATTATGAGTTAGCAGATCGATCGCTCAAGTGCATACACTTTCTCACCTGAACTGGCTCCTGTACAATCATGCTTGCAGCTTCTTCACTCCAAATTATATTTCCAATTTATCAGCACACAGTTCAACGACCGACTCCTTTATTTTAATATTATAATCGGCTAGTTGTTCTTGCTAAACTGTGATCCGGGCGAGTTACTGCGAATTCGATTAAGATAAGAAAAATGATAAGACGAGTGACAAGGTTTGAACAATTCATTGGAAATATTCAACATTTACACGAGAATCCATCTTTACTCTGCTTATTTCAAGTCAACAACTGACTGATATTTCTCAGTACTTGCAATCCTTCCGATATTTATTCTCTAGTTTGTGGTTAGGGACTTTTTTTTTAACGTCACTAGCGCGAGCTTTCGTTTCTTTCGTTCTGCTTTTTTAAACTCCTGACAGGTGGCGCGCTCTGTATTTACAGTCGGTAAGAAGAAATTTCATTGGTAAGAAAAAATACCACTTACCATAATAATAATCATAAAATGACATTTTTTTGTTTTTGGTGCCGCAGAAGAAATTTGACAGTTCTTTAGTTTGTGAAAAAATGTACAAATTAAAATGACATTTAATGATTTTTAAGAATTTTCTTCTTAAAAAAATTAATATTAAGAAATTTAAATAAAAATTTCTCATATAGAAAATTTTTAGCACTAATTTATTTGATGATGCTGAAATTTGAATAAGACATCTGATGAGTTTTATGAGTTTTAGAATTTTTGTAAACAAATAAATTATAATAAAAAAATTACACATTTATAAATTGTAAAAAATTATGAATGTAATTTAGGTATTCAAATATTTTTTTAGACTTAATTCATTTGCTAAATAATTTGTGACATTAAAGTAAGCAGTCACTTGAACTTTTTTTAATTTTTTTTTCCAAAAAATGATTTTTTAAAAATTGCATTTTTTATTTTTTAAAATTTCTACATTTCAATTTTTTTTCTAATTTTTTTGCCATAATTCATTTGTTAAAATAATAAAATATCTGCTAAATTAATTTTCATAAACAAAATATCAGCTGATATTTTAGGGCCGATAACTGCCACCAGCTCCTGTGACCGCTGCTACAGTTGTGCAGTTGTTGGCGACGTTGTGTCCTGGATTTTTTAAAAATATAAAGATTTATCTCCCGATACTGGTATTAAATATTAAGGCGGTCAAAATTACCGAGAAGAAATTGTTTGCTGACTGCGTTGAGTATCATATCGATATTTTGAAGTAAGTTATCAGTTATAAGTCATTATTTAGACAATAATTAGCAATATTATTTGAAAAAATTTTTGTTATATTGTATTTTTTGTAAAAAAATATTTTTAGCTTCAAATTTGCTCTAAAAAATTTAAAGAAAATTTTTGGTTTAAACTTTATTGATTATTTATCAATTTATAAATCTCAGTTTAATAAATAATAATTTAGTATTAATTATCACCAATAAATTTTTTTGATTAAAATAAAAAAATTATTTTCTTACAGAATGGTGGAAACAATGAGTCGCGTATTTGGTCCGATGATCTTCATCCAGTACTCCTTCAGTTCAATAATCCTCTGTAGCAGCGTTTACGCTCTTTCTCAAATGGTCCCGTTTTCTCCAGAATTCATCGCTTGCTTGGTTTACATCCTCTGTATGTTCTTCCAAATATTCGTGATCTGTTTGTCAGGAAATCAAGTTTCGCTTGAGGTGTGATTACCAAAAATATAAAACTATTAAAAAATGCACAAAGTAAAAAAAAAATTTTTTTGCACTAATAAATTAATACTAAAAAATTTAAACAAAATTATGCAAATAGAAAATTGTTAATACAATTTTTTTATACCTAATTTATTTTTTAAACAAAATCTAAAAATAGAAAAAATTATCTAATAGTTTGCAGAGCTCGGTCCCGAAATGTACAACACAAACTGGTTTTTGCTGAGCATTAACGCCCAAAAACACGTTGCTATGATGATGATGTCTTCAGTAAAGCCGATAATATTCAGCTGCGGTCATGTTGCCACTTTGTCATTAGAATCATTCAAAAGGGTAACTTTAGAATTTTCTTCTTTGATCTACAATAAATATTAACTTGTAAAACTTTTTTTTTAGCTACTCAAATTATCTTACACCATCTACAATGTATTCCAACAATCAACTTGAGATGAAACCAAATGAATATTGTTTAGAATTGAATAAATAAATTTTTAAGAATTTAAGAATTACTTCTGATTGACAGATTTAAAAAATTAATGAAGACTAGAATTATTCAAAATGATTTCTTCTTACTTTATAGATTACTAACAACTTAAAATAATATTAAATTTATAACAGGAGCTGTTTTTTTCACTGAATTTTCTTTGCGACTAATCCCCACTTACAATTTTCAAGCCGAACAATAGTCACCAGGTACTCATTATTAATTCAAAATTGTCAAGTTAATAATTCAAACCCTTTTCTACGACTATGAATACTTAGAACAAAGTATTTTCCCCTTTCTGCATTAAAATTAAAAATCGGAAACGAAAATTATGGCAATTTAGTTTATAGTTGGCTAGTATTAACTGAAATTGAATAATAAATTAAGAAGACTGGCGACAGAGTCACCCTTTCTTAGATTCAGAATAACTTTTCTACCTTTGTTTTGTCAGTTGGCATCAACTGGTCAATAAAATGACTTCTATTTTGCCACAAAGTTTCTTTATTCTGACTTGCATCGGGGTTTGGAGACCCGTTGAATGGCAAGGCTGGAAGTGTGTCCTCTATGATGCCTACAGTTGGTTCGTGGTCATCACCAATTTCGCGTTTTCGCTGTCCCAGTTCTTGGACATACTTCTGGTCCGCACTTCAATAAACGAACTTACCAATAACTTGACTATGTTGCTGGTGATGGTCACTGCTTGCGGAAAAATAGTCGGGATTCTGTTCAACCGCAATGAAATTTTGGAAATTCTCAGAAGCTTGGAGGAAAAACCTTTCAAGCCTCGTGATCAATTCGAAGAAGATATTCGCAAGAAGTATATACACATCAGCAGGTAAGTCTAATTTTTTTTATTCATTTTTTTACACTGTAAAAATTATTAAGTTTTTAATTTTTACAGTGTATTTTATAAATAATTTTACTAATTTTAATTAATTGAAAATTTGTGAACAAGAGAGGATTCTCCAAAAAGTTTTTTAACCCGTTCTTATTCTGTCTATTTGACAATAGGAATATCAGGAATTTTACTAACGCGAATTCCAGAAGCTAAATTACCTGATGTGTTGCCTTTCAGCAGCTGGCTGCCTTACAATTACTCAAAGCAAAATGTTTACTTAATTACCGCAGCTCAGCAGGTTTTTAATTCTCTAATTAGCACATACGCACAAGTCGGTTTCGACACATTGTTTCCTGGGTTGATGATGTATGTATCAGCACAAACTAATATCCTGCAATATCGCTACGACAAAGTCATCAAAGCTCTTGAAAGATTGAACGACTTTAATCATTCTGCAAATCAAAATAAAAAAATTGCTGAAAGGAATATTATTACTGAATGGGTTGAGTGTCACATTGCTGTTTTAAGGTACTTTATTTTAATTTTAATAATAATAATCTATATTATTAAGAGAATAAGCAAAATTTTGTGGCCAGTATATTTATATGATAAAACAGGTTTTTATGGTTAAATTTGGTATCGTTGGAAAAGTTTTGACCTAGAGTTGTGCCTTTTTAAGATTTCATATCATTCTCACCAATAGTCAATTTATGATGATAAGTATTTAGGCTGCATTCGAAAATGTTCTATCTCTATATACATAATTAAGAAATTACCTTGTATCTCGTAAACTATTGACATTTTTAAAGATATAAGCTCATCTCGATGTTACATTCATCAAGACTTTTCATTTGAGTACCCACATCAATTTTTCATATATTTATATATTTTATATATATATGTATATATGAAAAATATATGAAAATGCATGTGGGTACTCTAATAAAAGCTCTTGATGAGTGTAACATTGAGATGAGCTTATATGTATAAAAACGTCAATAGTTAAAAAAGTACAGTGCAAATTAATAACCGAAGACATTATTTAATAAAGCAAAATTTTATTTATTCATAGTTCACAAGTCACGACAGTCACATAGTGACTGCGAGGTTGCTAGTTTAAAAAAAATTCCAAGGTAATAATAATAATAATTATTTTTTTTTTTTTCAGTTTTGCAGATTACGTTTACGAAATATTTTCAAAGCCTGTATTTCTTCAATACTGCTCGAGTTCAATAATGCTCTGTGGAACTGTTTATTATTTTTCAAGCATTCCGATGGACTATGTTGAGTGTGTAAGCACAATGGTTTTTATTATAGGCACAATATTGCAAATTTTTATGTGTTGTATGTCGGCGCACCAATTGACTCTTCAGGTAAAATCTAAAATAAACATTCCGTCAATTCCAAAAATAAAAAAAACTAAAATTTCAATTTAGTTTGAAAATCTCAATGAGGGGATGTACAATACGGATTGGTTTAACTTGAGTGTAAATGCAAGAAAATCTATGATTATTATCGTGCTAAAAACATTTCAGCCTGTAGTATTCATGTCTGGTTACATTGTAACACTGTCTATTGAATCATTCAAAAGTGTAAGCTTATTTATTTACAAAAAGTGTCTCATTTCAACGATTAACAATTAATATTTTTTAGGTCATGAAGTTATCTTACTCTATTTACAATGTTCTTCAATAAGAAAATCATCTTTGATGTTTTTTATCTCAAAAATTTCGTGATAATTGATAAAATTATTTGGAAAATCCAAAAGTGCACGATTTTCAAAAAAAAATTTGGCTCAATCAATGGATTTTTTCGCAAGTTACAGTGTTTTTTGGGTTTTATATATGACGGACAGGAAAATTTTTTAAACTATTTTAATGTTTTTTTCCGTTTTTATTGCACTTGATAAATTTTTGAAAAGTATGGAATTAATTTTCATTAAATTATCTTGACAATAGTTTTAAAAATATCTTGATTGCGTGAAATAACAAGGGTTATAATAATAAAAATAGTTGCCAAAATGAGGCAAAAAAAATTTTTCAATCGTAAAGCATGTACTCTTTGATGCTCCGCATCATGAGTCGTGCAATAATGTAGTTTTTCGAACCTGAAAAAACATTGGCAATTACTTATTAATGGATGAATAAATAAATTTATTAACAATTTAACACATTGTAATTAGTACACTAATTAGAACAATCGTCGTCTGAATATTCGAACAATTTAAAGAACACAGTTCAGTTACTGACTTAATACTTAGCGAATTATTCTTACAATTATTACTCAGCATGTAATTATAATCAATATCAATTACTATAATTACTTAACACACGTACACAAGACTCAGAAGTACTTCAACGTCAATTATTGTTTAATAATTTATTGATTACAATTACTTTTTAACTGTAGAACGCTCTTGCCAGCACAACAAATCGTCTTACACCATCTAAAATGTATTCCAACAATCAACTAGAGATCCAAATGAAGATTGTTTAGAATTGAATGAATAAACTTTTAAGAATTTAAGAATTACTTCTGATTGATACATTAAGAAAATCAATGAAGACTAGTATTATTCAAAATGATTTCTTCTTACTTTATAGATTACTAACAACTTAAAATAATATTCAATTTCTAACAGGAGTTGTTTTCTTCACTGAATTTTCTCTGCGACTAATCCCCACTCACAATTTTCAAGCCGAACAATAGTCACCAGGTACTCATTTTTAATTCAAAATTGTCAAGTTAATAATTCAAACCCTTTTCTACGACTATCAATACATAGAACAAAGTATTTTCCCCTTTCTACATCAAAATTAAAAATCGGAAACGACAATAATGGCAATTTATTTTATAAATAGTTGGCTATTATTAGATAAAATTGAATAATAAATAAGGAAGACTGGCGACAGAGTCACCCTTTCTTAAATTCAAAATAACTTTTCTACCTTTGTTTCGTCAGTTGACATCAACTGATCCATAAAATGACTCCTATTTTGCCACAAAGTTTCTTTATTCTGACTTGCATCGGGGTTTGGAGACCCGTTGAATGGCAAGGCTGGAAGTGTGTCCTCTATGATGCCTACAGTTGGTTCGTGGTCATCACCAATTTCACGTTTTCGCTGTCCCAGTTCTTGGGCGTACTTCTGCTCCGCACTTCAATAAACGAACTTACCAATAACATGAGCATGTTGCTGGTGATGGTCACTGCTTGCGGGAAAATAGTCGGGATTCTGATCAACCGCAATGAAATTTTGGAAATTCTCAGAAGCTTGGAGGATAAACCTTTCAAGCCTCGTGATCAGTTCGAAGAAGACATTCGCAAGAAGTATATACACATCAGCAGGTAAGTCTAATTTTTTTTTTATTAATTTTTTTGCACTGTAAAAATTATTAAGTTTTTAATTTTTACAGTGTATTTTATAAATAATTTTACTAATTTTAATTAATTGAAAATTTGTGAACAAGAGAGGATTCTCCAAAAAGTTTTTTAACCCGTTCTTATTCTGTCTATTTGACAATAGGAATATCAGGAATTTTACTAACGCGAATTCCAGAGGCTAAAGTACTTGGTGTATTGCCTTTCAGCAGTTGGCTGCCTTACAATTACTCAAAGCAAAATGTTTACGTAATTACCGCAGCACAGCAGGTTTTTAATTCTGTAATTAGCACATACACACATGCCAGTTTTGACACATTGTTTCCTGGGTTGATGATGTATATATCAGCGCAAACTAATATTTTGCAATATCGCTTCGATAAAGTCATCAAAGCTCTTGAAAGATTGAACTTTAATCATTCTGTAAATCAAAATACAAAAATTGCTGAAAGGAATATTATTACTGAATGGGTTGAGTGTCACATTGCTGTTTTAAGGTTTTTTATTTTATTCATACTTAATTTCAATAATTTAAATAATAATAATAATAATAATTTAGATTTTCAAGTTAGTGGCAGTCCAGTCTAATACACCAATGTTTATTTATTTTATTTTGTTGTTATATTTCGCCTGTTTTCCCTTGAGTTAAAAAGTTCGCAACAAAATGCCACAACAAAAGTTCGCAACAAAATGCCAACAAAATGCCAAAAGTTTCACTAAAACTTACAGTTCAACGTGGATCCATAATTTTTATTTTTTAACAAGGAATAATTTAAATAATACTAGCAAACATAAATCAATAAAACTACAAACTCATAATATTCTTCATAAAATAATATTTGACTAGTTTTAAATTAGTCTCAAAAACATAAATTAAATAGTTAAAGCTAGATCAATTAAAATTATTAATCTTCATCCGGACTAAACGGACTTTTAATCCATGTCATCCAATCAGAGACAATTGGTAGCTCATCAGATGTAACGGTAGATGAAAATGTTTTTTTATTTTTTAAATGATAAAAATATGATAATACGCGGAAAAATGTACTATAATTTTTTCTATAGAATCAAACATGGATAACAATAAAAACATATAAAATTTTAATAAGTTATTTTTTACTTTTTTCAATAAGCAACAAAAATTATTTAAATAAAATAAAAATTCAACTGTACACTTTAAAATTAAGAAAACAATTTGGAATCCGAAATGGAAAGATTTTTAATCTTGAATTTTGATTCACGAAATATTACGTAAGAATGAATTTTACCCTCCCCCCTCCCCCCCAACGTAAGAACTTGTAGAGATTTTCTTAACCCCCCTTCCCCCTCAATACCCTTACGTAATTAATGAATGGCCCCTTATCAAGTAAGTGTATTTTATAAAAAAACAATCATTTTTAATGTTATATAAAGAATTTAGAATATTAATTAGAAAAAAATTGTAAAAATTGCAGTTGACGTTGGAAAAAATGTATAGAAATTGTAATAAATGTCTGATGATGTCTGGAGGGAAGACAGGCGAATAAAATAAAATAAAATAATTAAACATTGGTGTATTATTCTAAACTGCCATTAACTTGAAAATCTAAATAAATTAAAACCAGTTAGTAGGAGAAAAAATCCATGAAACAAATTTAATAATAATAATAATTTTTTATTTTTAGTTTTGCAGATTACGTTTACGAAATATTTTCAAAGCCTGTATTTCTTCAATACTGCTCGAGTTCAATAATGCTTTGTGGAGCTATTTATTATTTTTCAAGCATTCCGATGGACTATGTTGAGTGTGTAAGCACAATGGTTTTTATTATAGGCTTAATATTGCAAATTTTTATGTGTTGTATGTCGGCGCACCAATTGACTCTTCAGGTAAAATCTAAAATAAACGTTCAGTTAATTCCAAAAATAAAAAGAACTAAAATTTGAATTTAGTTTGAAAATCTCAATGAGGGGATGTACAACACGGATTGGTTTAACTTGAGTATAAATGCAAGAAAATCTATGATTATTATCGTGCTAAAAACATTTCAGCCTGTAGTATTCATGTCTGGTTACTTTGTAACACTATCTATTGAATCATTCAAAAGTGTAAGTTTATTTATTTACAAAAAGTGTCTCATTTCAACGATTAACAATTAATATTTTTTAGGTCATGAAGTTATCTTACTCTATTTACAATGTTCTTCAATAAGAAAATCATCTTTGACAATTTTTATCTCAAAAATTTTGTGATAATTGATAAAAATATAATAATTATAAATCTTTTATATAGTTACAGCAGAATTGTATAAAGAAATATTGTTGTAATTTGTACTTGTTATTTGCATACGTATAATTACAAATCGTTACAAATAAAACGTAGATATACTTTGTTGAATATGAGTTTTTTAAGAGAACTTGGTAATCCCATCACATTTTATCAGAAAATTTATCTTCACCGAGTAATACTGATTGTGAAGATGATTCTCATACAAAGTTAAGTATACTAACTATATTGTAAAATACATAAAAAAAAAAACATTAAATATTTTTCAGATTATCGCAGAGTAAAATTCTATCGACAACTAATCTCTTCAATTTAAAAACAAAAGGAAACAATAGCTTCTAATTTTTAATTCTTCAAATTGTTCTCTAAATAATTCAAAGCTTTTTTTAGAATTTTCAGCCTTCCCAAAATCAATTTTCAAAATTGACTTAATCGCCGCAATTTCTCTTATAGATAATCGCTTCAATTTGAACTCTAAATTCGCGCAATGAATAATTAATCAGCAAGTGAAGCTAAGAACAGAGACTTCTAACTGGCAAACTTAGTCTTAGAACAACCAGCAAGCACTCTTGTCTTCAATAGTATCAATACGATGACTACTGCAGTCTTGTCACGTAGTATCTTGATACTGACTTTGGTCGGTCTCTGGCGACCCATCGATTGGCGCGGATGGAAATCTCTCCTCTACAATTCATACACTTACATAATTTTTATTCCTGTTATTTTTCTAAAAATTTTTTATGAAATATAACTTTAAAAAAATGACACTGAAATTAGCAGACACTTTTTTTATTTATCTTCAAAAATAAACTATTTTTAAAAAATTTTATTTATCATTTTTGACAGCTTTTAATTGTGAAATGTTTTAAATAAATTTTTCTTTCATTAATTTATTTGTTAAAAAAATAATCAGATGTCTAAATTTCAATATAATTAAAAAAAAAATATTCTCTATAAATAACTAACAGTGTAGACATTGAATAAAATAACTTATAAATTGGGGTAATTGAAAGTATGTCTCAAAGGAGATTAAAATTGGAATATCGATATGTTAAATTGTCAATAAGTGTAAATGCAGATGCGCAGACTAGAGACTAGACTACATACACAATTTCACATCGCATTTGTACATGTACACTCATACACCGCGAAACATTCACATATACATGCCCAAAGACGTAACACACGTTGACTGGACGTTTAGAAAAAATAATTCAATGAATAAAATGGAGAAAAAAAATATAATTAATTAAGAGCGCTGACAAGTAAATATCCTGAGTGGTCTGACTGGATTTGCTATTTGCTATTATGAGTTAGCAGATCGATCGCTCAAGTGCATACACTTTCTCACCTGAACTGGCTCCTGTACAATCATGCTTGCAGCTTCTTCACTTTATATTTTCAATTTATCAGCACACAGTTCAACGACCGACTCCTTTATTTTAATATTATAATCGGCTAATTGTTCTTGCTAAACTATGAACCGGGTGAGTTACTGCGAATTCGATTAAGATAAGAAAAATGATAAGACGAGTGACAAGGTTTGAACGATTCATTGGAAATATTCAACATTTACACGAGAATCCATCTTTACTCTGCTTATATTTCAAAAGTCAACAACTGACTTGAACTGACTGATATTTCTCAGTACTTGCAATCCTTCCGATATTTATTCTCTAGTTTGCGGTTAGGGACTTTTTTTTTTAACGTCACTAGCGCGAGCTTTCGTTTCTTTCGTTCTGCTTTTTTAAACTCCTGACAGGTGGCGCGCTCTGTATTTACAGTCGGTAAGAAGAAATTTCATTGGTAAGAAAAAATACCACTTACCAAAATAATAATCATAAAATGACATTTTTTTGTTTTTGGTGCTGCAGAAGAAATTTGACAGTTCTTTAGTTTGTGAAAAAATGTACAAATTAAAATGACTTTTAATGATTTTTACGAATTTTCTTCTTAAATAAATTAATATTAATAAATTTAAATAAAAGTTTCTCATGTAGAAAATTTTTAGCACTATATAATTTATTTGATTACGTTAAAATTATAAGATATGTAATGATCTTCAGAATTTTTGAATTTTTGTAAACTAATAAATTATATTAAAAAAATTACACATTTATAAATTGTAAAAAATTATGAATGAAATTTATTCAAATAATTTTTGAGACTTAATTTATTTATTAAATAATTTGTGACATTAAAGTTAGCAGTCACTTGACTTTTTTTTAATTTTTTTTAACAAATAAATATTTCCAAAAAATTATTTTTTTAAAATTGTATTTTTTATTTTTTTCAATTTCTACGTCAATTTTTTATTCTAATTTTTTTGCCATAGTTTATTTGTTGAAAAAATTATTGAAATTATAAAATATCTGCTTAATTAATTTTCAAAAATATAAAAATGTCATCAGCTGATATTTTAGTCCATTCTTATAATTTAGATGAAAAATATGAAAATATTATTATTTTTATTATTATTAATTTATTGCATTAAACAATTATATACATGTTTTTAGCAAGGGGGTAATATAAGTAAATTTACATATAAAAATAATAAATAAACATATCTTCATTTGTGAGCAATGTTATAAAATAAAAATAAAAAGAATAATGTCATGGGAACAGTATAAAAAAAGTGAAAAGAGATTAAAGTTGGTTAAAGACATCAAATTAGAGTTGTAGGGCCCAATCTCTAAGGTACATAGACTTGTTGATAAAATTTACAATCGTATATAAGGTTTTTTGGTCCGATGAGGAGAGTATAGCTGAGATTTGCTTCTTGCACTGTAGTAAGTTCGGCAGGAAAATGATTCCTGAGGCTTGAGAAGTAAGGACATGTTGTCATAAAGTGCTCAATGGAGTCAGGTTCTTTCTGGTTGCAAAGTTGACAGGTAGAACTCGGGGTCAATTTTGTCAGAAGGTTGTTCACATTTAGGTAGCAATTGTGTTTGTTTGCCAATCTCAGTTGAGCTATCAAGCGTTTGTTTCTGAGTGGGAATCTCAGTAGAAGGTATCTGGCTGGAGTATGTGGGTCTGGCAAGTGCAGAGAAAATTCAAGCGACCTGGAGTCTTTTGCTGCATTTAAGTCAGCGTGATAGAGTATGTTTCGGTATCTGCTGAGAATAGAATCGGTTTTAGATTCCCATAAAAGGGGATCTACAGAGTCAACAAGTTCGGAGGCGTCGCATTCTATCAGGAAAGCTCTCAGCTGCGAGGCCCAGTTAAATGGCGATGCGATTGAAGTGTTTCTAGCCAGATTAAAAAGACGCAGAAGACACATTTTATGTAGATAGTTGTCAGTGGCTTTGAGAGTTTTTATCACCCATCTCAAGATATAGGTCATGGCTTTAAGCGCGACATGATCTAATCCGAATTCCAAGCGCACAGCCCAGTCTGGCGTGTTCCTAGGTAACTTGAATAACTTCTTGAAAAAGAAGGTTTGAATCGATTCTAGGGAATTTCTGTACCATAAGCCCCAGACTGGAATGGCATATAGAAATACTGACGATACCATACTGTCAAAGATCTTGTTGTACGCGCTCCACGAGTCACACTTTGCTTTGGCCAGTAGAGACAAGGACACACCAGCAGCACTTTTCGCTTTACTAATGGCAGAGTGCAGGGCTGTTAGGCCTCTAGTTGAAGTAGACACTTCGACACCCAGGTACGTGTAGCTCTTGACAAGTTCTAGGCAGGTTTTTTTTATAGGTTCTGAAGTGACTAGGGCAGTCTCGGATCCTACCAGCTGCTTTAAAAACAAGGATTTTTGTTTTTGTTTTGTTAACTGTTAGTTGATTTAGGTCGCAATATTCTTCGAGAGCTCGCAGTTTACGTAGAAGGTCAATGTGCGAGTGGGCGAAGATTACAGTGTCATCTGCATACAGGAGTAAAAGAATGTCGGTAAGCCCGTTGATGTCCAAGCCATAGAGACCTTTGGAGCGGAAAAATTGTTCCATGTCGTGCAGGTAGAGAAGAAACAGGTCCGGGCTTAAAGATTCACCCTGTAACACGCCTTCAGTTACATCAAAGTCGTCTGAAAGGCCTTCTTTGGTTCTAACCTGCATAGACGCTTGGTCATATAGAGTTTTCACCGTGTTTATAAACTTGCAGCTAACATTTAGATGCTGGAGTTTGTCCCAGAGACGCGCGTGAGGCACAGAGTCGAAAGCTCTCTGAAAATCAACAAAGATTCCATAAATTTCCCTGCCATCTTTGTGACGGAATTGGATTTGAATGGCGCTGTGTAGTGTGAAGATGGCGTCGGTACAACTGCGGCCTTTTCTAAAGCCCATCTGGGAATTAGGTAAAACATTCTCCTTGTCCATCCATATTACGAGGCGTTTTTTTAATATACTGGTAAAAATCTTAGTAATTATATTCACCAGTGCAATTCCCCGGTAGTTGTGTGGGTCAGTCTTGTCTCCTTTTTTATGCAGCATCGTCATCCAGAGTTTAGCCCAGCTTCCCGGAACGCGATCTTCAGTGAGTACTCTGTTGTATAGAACTTTTAAGAGATCTTTGTGCTGAGCTGTGAGTGTTTTAAAGAGCTCGTTGATTAGTAAGTCTGGCCCGGCTGCTTTGCCAGATTTTAGTGAGTTTAGGACCGAGTTAAGCTCTGAGAATGTAATTTCCATATCTAAGATTTCATTGTAGATATTAGTCTGGATGGAGAGCGTAACGAGTCTAGGCTTGAGGATCGAGGAGTAAAAATTGTTCCAATTGTTGACCGAGATATCAGGAGAAGCATTGTGCTTGAAGTTAAACTTCCTGACGGCAGCCCAGAAGTCAGCCGGGACCTTTACGTTGGCGAAAGCCGCTTTGATACAATCAATATGGGCTTTTTTCTTTGTTTTACAGAAAAATATGAAAATATATCATGTAAGAGCAAACTATTCGTAACGTGATTGGTCAAATATATCATAAGCATGAAAATATAGATAATTCCATACCAACATTCACATGCGCGCTTGCGCGCGCAACGTATACTAGTATCATATATTTCACAAAATTTTTTTTTTTAAGGTAGTATTCTCGCCAGAGTCGTTTTCTTAGGATTTTTTTTTAAACTTTGGCAGATTAAAATTTATATAATTCTGCATCGATTGGCGCAATTTGAGAATTTTTGACCATCTAGTCTCCGAGATATTTAATTTCAAAGTTTAAGTTTTGAACGCTCTTATACATTACGGTATACGGGATATCGAAAAGTTTACCTACAAACATTTTTATATCTCAGAAACTTTTCTTAAGATCTTTTTAAAAAACTAGAGTAACGTTAACTAACAACTAAACAATTTAAAAAAAAATTCATTGATAATTACCACACGAGTTTCAGAGATATTTATTAATAAGTAATGAAAAATTTACCAGGCTTTAGCCGAGAAGGGGATACGTTTATAAAGCTGTGGCAACAACGCAAGTTTTAAGAGCCGCGAAAGAAGTATGAGACGCGCATGCGCTGACAAATTTTAAAAGTTTAATTTACGTTAGGTGTAATATTTATAGTTATTAATTTTATTTATTTAAAAAAAAATAACAATGATTATTTTATAAAAATAAGAATTTTTCTATATTTATAAAAATTCAAAAAGTTAACAATCTTAATATAATAATATTAATTAATCTTTCATAAGTTATAAAAATAATAGTCAGATAAAAAAATAAAAAAAATACTAAAATTTAAAATCAGTTAATACATCAACATAAAAAAATTAGTTACTGATTTTTTTAAAAAAACAAAACAATATTGTCAATTATTTTTTTTCTATTTGTTATTTGCATAGTTAATATTTTTATAATTGCTAAGGATTTCTGTCGTTTTTCAAGGACTTTTTTTATGAATCGTTCTTTGTAAGTCAATTTTTCAGACATTTTAATTATATTTCCGAATAAATGTATGTAAATAAATAAATAAACGCATGAGTCAAAACAGAGGTTAATCTACAGTTAGTCCAAAACACTACAGTATAACCACTATAAAATATCTCAACGCTCACGCAGTGTTGCCAGACTTTTCAAACGATCAGTTTCTCGTTCGTAATTGGCTAAAATAAGTACATAAACAGCGAAAAGTTTTAGGCTTGCCAATAATGACTATCCAGTAAGTGTACCGTACACTCTAGATCGCCTATTGTTTTTTAAAGCTAGGCAACATTAATTAAAAAAATTAGGAAAACGGTTGACCCTAAAAGCCATCTCTGCAACTTCCCGCTAATTCCGTTAATACATGGCCGATTTTTTTGAACTCTTCGAGCTTAAAAATACAATCTGTATGTTATTTTGAGCTTTCCGAGCTCAAAGAGGTACCTTATCTGTGCTTTTGCGCTCTTTGAGCTTAAAAGTCTGATAGGAGTTTCATAGAGCACTATTTTTTGGATTTTTAAACCGCAATAACTTTTGAATGAATGAAGCGATTTTTACGCGGTTGACGGCATTCTACGCAGTTTTTTGAGCCTCATAAAGAATTTCTAAGTTTCAATTGGTTAAACTCGAAATTTCGGAGTAATTCCGAAAAAACACTTTTTTCGGTTTTTTTTCGTTCACGATATCTCTTGAACAAATCAACCGATTTTGATCGGATTGACGGCAATCGACGTGGTTTTTTAAGGTTGAGAGCTGATTAGTTTTTGGAATCGATCGGTAGAGCCGTTTAAAAGTTATTCCAAAAAAACCACTTCTTAGGTTCAAATTTTCAGGAAATCTAAGTTTAGAGAAGCCCTTTCGAATGGCACCAACCGCGATGAAATCGGTTCAACCGTTCAAAAGTTATAAGAGGTTTACATACTTACTACACACACACACACACACACACACACACACACACACACACACACACACACACGCGCGCGCGCGCGCGCACGCACGCACGCACGCACGCGTAGAGGTGGTTACTAAGTTCGACGGCGAAGTTATCGTAGCCGGAGACTTCAACGCTAAATCGGCGCTGATTTCTCCGACACCAGAGGAAACGAGGTCGCTGACGTCGCGGCTGGACTGGTCCTCATAGTGCTGAACACCGGGAGCACCATGACCTTTAGAAGACCAGGGTACCAAGAATCCATCCTGGGCAGTAGACTGGGGCAGCAAGCAAACCTGTAGAGCGTGCAATTATTAAATATCTGCTAAATTGATTCTCATAATTTCAGAATGATTTTTATCACAAGTAAAAATAGTTGCCAGATAATTTTCAATATTGAAAATAAAGAAGTAACTTCACTGGAATATTTGAAGTAAGAAATTTTTCTGATGAAGAATAATCCAAACTTCTATATCAAATCTGGAACATGAATAGAATAAAAAATTAATATTTAAATTCTCGTCCATAATCAAAATATTTTAAATAACTTTATCTTGGGAATTTGGACATTGTAAAAACTAGACGAGGATGTTAATTATAAGAGTAACTATTATTATTTTTGTATTATATGTCAAATATTTCGCGACCCAAATGCCAAAAAGGCGTATTACAGCAGCTAGATATGGTTATATGCCAAAAGGGTGTATAAAAAATTTTTTTTTCGCCATTCAATTTTGAACTGCTCAGAACGTAAAGATTTTTCAAAAAAAAAATTTTAATGTACTAATGCCAAAAGGGCATATCTCAAAACATACGCCCTTTTGGCTTTAAAAAAGTTTAGCCTAAAGCCATAGGGGCGTATAAAAAAATTTTCAATTTTGCTCTGAAATATAAAGTTTAACTCTAAAATAAAATTTAACGCCCTTTTGGCTTTGGAAATTTATATTTTTATTTTTAGGCTTAGAAAGTGTTAATAAAGCGATTAGTAAAAGAAAAAAAATAATTTATACGCTCTTTTAGCACTGCAAAGCCAAAAGGGCGTATAACTTAATAAGCGCCCTTTTGGCATTTGGATCGCGATTTATATTAACTAAAAAAAATTTTTTTTTTATTTTGAGTTCGCCTGATGAAGCTAAAATAAATCAGCGAAACGTTGCGCAAATTTTATAATACAACATTTTCACTAATTGTTCAAATTCTCAAGAATAAATTATTTGAAATAGAATGAAAAATTTTTCACAGTTATTTCTTCAAAAAAACTTACAAATTTAAGACTTACATTGTAAAATAATTCAATTGTTTTTTATAGGTTATTAAAGAATTCGACGCTCTCCGCGAATCCGAAGAGCCAAGATCATGTCCTTGGGCTGTATAGTGACGCGTTTGGCGTGGATAGCGCAAAGATTGGTATCTCCAAACAAACCAACGAGATAAGCTTCGGCAGCTTCCTGAAGAGCCGCAAGAGCAGCAGATTGACATCGAAACCCAGCTTTGAAACTCCTGGTGATTTCACTGACGAGCCGTTGGAAAGGCAATTTGCGGATGACAAGCTCTGTACTTTTTTTATACCGGCGAATTTTACGGAGTTCTACCGCACCAGGACGAAAGCGATACGGCTTTAATATGGGAGATTGCGAAGGTCTAGATTTTTCACCAGCAGAGGAAGGCTCGGGATTTTTTGCAGCCGCTTGCGCGGTCTGGAAAGCTTTCAGCTTCGCTGAAAGCTTATAAGAAGCTTCATGATCATATTTGCGGACAGCCTGCTTGATCCGGGCCATATATATGTTTTATTTATTATTTATTATTGTATATACAATCAACTGATATTTTTTTTTTAGAGACCACCAATTCACTGCACTAGTTGACAATTGCGCTGGTAACTAAAGAGTTATTCAGATATTATTTTATTATTTCAGTATCTTGTACGGAAGTTGCTTAAAATTACTTATATTTATCACAAAACTGCAAAAGAATATAACTTTATTGATACGCAGTTAGATGTTTTAATGACTTGAAATATCTTAAAAGATAAATTTACTTTTTGCGGCTTTTCAAATTGAAAAAAATGTCACGAATGTATTCATACACCAAGCGACGCCAATGATTAGCAGCCATCTTATTTTTTTTCCATATTATTTAAATGAGTCAGCAGTGGTATGGTCATCTAGGAATTTAAAAATAAAAAACACTCTTGGTGTGCACATTCGGACCCCCGCCACGGTGTCCAGAAGGAGGGGGGTCAACTAGTCACTCTGAAGTGTCCAACTCTAGAAAATATTATGTTCCGTTACATTGAAAGATTATAATATGCATTATATATAATAATAATAATAATAATAATAATAATAATAATAATAATAATAATAATAATAACAATAATATGCATAAAACACCAAGTCTGGAAATGTTGATAAAGATAAAACTTGTAATCGTCAAAACTGTAAGTGAATTTAAATAACGAACTGGATTGCTAAATGAGCATATTTATTTGTCCCTACAGATGAATAAGCGCGCTCTCAAGGTCATCAATAAGTGATAAATTGTTTTATTAGAAATGTATGCAGTATAACAATATAATTACAATAATAATTTTATTTTAATAATTAATAAGAAAAAAAAGGATTATTCCGACGTATATTCATCTGAATAATAATTTATTGAAAGTTAACTCTTGGTAAAATTTTATTTGCTTTCGCAATTTTAGAAATTAGTGTCTTTCTAATATTATTTTTATTCATCATGTTCAATTTTTGGTAATTATTTACCAGGGTCAATCCCATTCTGGGCCATAACTAGGTGAAAAAGTAACATTTTCAATTTTTTTTATTCTACTATGTCTTTACGGCGCATTTATGATAAAAAAATGTCGTGAAAGAAAAGAATAAAAATTTCGATAGCTTTTTTGCTTTCAAGAGTTGGAAAAAATTTTGGCGCTCATGTTTTTGGATAAAATTTCTATTTTATCTTTTTTTGATATATTTTTTTCTGAAAAGTACATAAAAAAATGAACAATTTAAAAAAAAAAAGTTGAATTTCACAATTTTCTAAAAAATTTATAAATTTTTTTGAAAATTTATTAAAATTGTGATAATCAACTTTTTTTTTTTTTTTTAAATACTTCACTTTATTATATATTTTTCAAAAAAAATATATCAATAAAATCAAATAGAAATTTCGTTCAAAAAAAATTAAAATTAAAATGGTTGACCCCACTTGTAAATATTTACCCAATTTTCAAATTTGAATTCTAATGATTACACCTGTGTGATTGTATTTGCCTCATTTTATAATTTTTTATTTTAATTATCCCAGGTAAAAAAGATAGCTGGACATGAGGCCCGAACACCCACACCATCTATCGCCGCTCGCCGGACTATGTTCTATTTAAAATTCTTGTGATGAAGAATAATCCAAGGTATATTCTATATCAAGCCTGGAAGATAATTATAATGAAAAATGTTTCTCAGTTATTTCTTTAAAAAAAAATTCTTCAACTGTAAGCCAAGTAATTACCTAATTTGTAAAATAATTCAATTATTTTTAATAGATTAACGAATAAGCCGCTGTTGTCCGCGAATGCGAATCAGACGAGCCAACATCAAGTCGCAGGGCAGTATAATGGAGCGATTAGCATGGATAGCGCAAAGATTGATTTCTTTAAAAAAATTAATGAGATGAGATTCGCTAGCTTCCTGAAGAACTGCAATAGCATCAGATTGAAATTGAAACCCGGCTTTGAAACTCTCGGAGATTTCGCGGACGAGACGTTAGAACGAAAATTCATGTATTGCAAAGCCTGGGGCCCCATTTTTACTGAGCGATGCCGTGCCAGATGATTCGCCTGCAGAGGAAGGTTTGGAATTTTTTCCAGCCGCTTGCGCCGTCCGAAAAGCTTTCATCTTCGCTGAAAGCTTATAAGAGGCTTTGTGATCACATTTGCGCGCAACCTGCTTGATTCGAGCCATATGTATATTTTATTTATAATATTATATATAATCCACTGATATTTTTTTTACACTCCACAAATTCACTACACTAGTTGAAATTGCGCTGGTAACTAAAGAGTTATTCAGATATTATTTTATTACTTCAGTATACTGCACGGAAGTTGTTTAGAATTACGTATATTTATCACAAAACCAATAGAATATAGAGATATTGATACGTAATTAAGTCTTTTTATAATTCTAATTATCTTGAGAGATAAATTTACTTTTTTCAGGATTTCAAAATTGAAAAAATTTTACTATTTTATTGATACGACATAAGACGGTAGTGATAATTTGCCGAGTGTGATTTTCTTTTAGTGGTAAATCATCGTTCTAATTGCGCCGCAAATATTTATCTTCATTATGGAGCATTTTATAAAATCACATTAAAAAAAATCAAACTAGGTCTTTTGATAAATTAAATTCAAGGCTAAAAATTTGAGTATTTATTATTAAAAATTTGCTAATAATTTTAAAACTTTGCTTAAGGTAGTACTACCGTAGTACTACCACAAGAGTCAAATCCCAAAACCTAACCTTATTTGATTAACGTAGTAGATTTCCTTATACTAAATCACGTTGAAGAAAGAGAGGCAGAGATAAATTTTGAATGTTTTTTATTAATAAATAATCTCATATGCTCGGAAACCATACTGATTGTTATTAAATATGTTTTAGATGTTATTTTCTCTCGTTGTCTCAATTTTTATAAGAATTTGAACGCCCAGTTTTGTGAAATAAGATAAAGTCTTTGATTTTCCATAAGGATCAATGGTAAAGGCAAAAATTTGTAAATATTAAGATCTTTTTTTCAAGACTCGCCAGGCTCCCAAAAATTTTATTGCTTAATTATGATATTATAAAGTATCAATATGCCAAATTTTATTAAATTCTGAACGTAAATTCTAAAACCGCTAGTACTATCTTAATATTCGCTGGAAAGTTTTATTGAAATTGTTTTAGTTTCTAGGTAATTGTCCAAAGCTTCTGCGCCTCTGAAAGAAAAATTTTTAAATATAATAAAAGTAAAGATAATAAAAAAAATAATACTAATCTTACAATTCACGGCCAATTCCAGATTGTTTGTAGCCTCCAAAAGGAGCTGAAGGAGTAATAGTGCCATAGTGATTGACCCAAACATTACCAGAGTCTACTGCTTGAGCAAACTTGATAGCCTTGTTGATGTCATTGGTCAAAACACCGGCCCCGAGACCATAATTCGTGTCATTCGCGCGGTTGATAACGTCTTCCAGGCTCTTAAATTTGAGAATCGACTGAACGGGACCAAAGATTTCTTCTCTGGCGATCGTCATCTCATCAGTGACATCCGCGAATATCGTCGGTTGAATAAAGAATCCTTTATTTCCTACGCGCTCGCCGCCAGTGACCAATTTCGCGCCTTCTTTTTTTCCTATTTCAATAAACTTGAGCGCACGGTCAAATATTTCTTTTTCTACTTGAGGTCCTTGCTCTGTAGCCGGATCAAAGGGATTCCCTACTTTTCTTTTCAATGCCAAGTCTTTAGATTTTTCGACAAATTCATCGTAGATTTTTGAGTGAACATAAGTTCGAGATGCAGCGAAACAAATTTGGCCACTGTTTGTGAAGATTGCTTCGTGGGCTATTTTTACCGCTTTATCCACTACAAAGATATCAAAACAGCTTCAATTATTTGAACTCTAATTATCAATGACTATTCAAGTATAAATTACAAATTTATTACTCACCATTAACATCATCAAAAATAACCAAAGGACTCTTCCCGCCAAGTTCCAAAGTCACGCGCTTCAAATTACTATTTCCCGAAGCCTTCATTATCAATTTCCCAACCTGGAAACAATTAAAGCACTTAAAAAAATCCCAAACTGCAAGTAAACTTTCCAAACTCAAGCCAAAAAATTCCTATACCTCAACAGATCCAGTGAAGGCAATTTTAGCAACATCAGGATGTTCAGCAAGAGCAGCTCCCGCGGTGGGCCCAAACCCAGGAACAACATTGACAACTCCTGGAGGAAACCCAGCTTCTTTAGTCAGTGCAGCAATGTACAAAGTACACCGTGGAGTCTGCTCCGCAGGTTTAGTTACCACAGTACATCCCACGGCCAAAGCAGGTCCCCATTTAAGAGCCAGAAGAATAATCGGAGCGTTCCAAGGAGTAATTTGCCCGGCGACTAGTTTATATCTTTAAAACCGTCAATAGCTAAAAAAGTACAGTGCAACTTAACAAAAGTCATTATTTAATAAAGTAAAATTTTATTTATATATAATTCACAAGTCACGGCAGTCAGTGACTGCAAAGTTGCTAATAATTATTAATATTTTTATTCTGAATTTCTGCTGAAAATATGTAGTAATAGGTACCCGCATGGAGTAATATATATGTCAAAAATATATGTCGCATATATAATATATATGCCGCATATATTTACGCAAAAAAAAATATTTCAACATATATTTTTCACATCGATGCTGACATATATGCAGAGATACATGCTTACATATATGTAGACATATATGTAAGCATACACTGAAAAAAAAATTTCTAAGTTTGAGAATTTTTTTACTCAAATCAAGAAAGTTAAATTTTTCAAAATTATTTTCTTGATTCAAGTAAAATTTTTTTCTGTGTATCTCTAGACACTTATATGCGCACATATATGTGAAAATATATGCACGCATACATGTGAACATATATCTACGCATATATGTGAACATATATGCGGACATATATTTAGCGCAAAAAAAATATATGTGAAAATATATATTTGCATATATTTTTCGCATATATATTTTTCCATGCGGGATAGCCCTTTGATACCAAACAATGAATTCTAGATCACTAAAAATATCAGATTTAATACTTTGCTGTATGCAGTGTTTTTTGAAGTATCTATGACGGCGGTTCTTCTGGGAAAAATTGTGGAAGACCGTCCGATAGGAGTTTTACCATTCAGAGCATGGTTGCCTTACAATTATTCGAAGAGCAGAACAATCTACTGGCTGACCGCTTCTCAGCAGCTATTCACCGACTTTTTGAGCGCCAATGTTGACATCGGCTATGACACGATGTTTCCTGGGATGATGCTGCAGATTTGCATCCAGGTCAACGTTCTCAAACACAGGTTCCGAGTTACTCTTCAGGAGCTGGAAGATTATTCTAAAGATGCAGCTGATTCTAAGGCTGTTAAAATTACCGAGAAGAAATTGTTTGCTGACTGCGTTGAATATCATCTTGATATTTTGAAGTAAGTCATCAACTCATCAGTTATGTCATTATTTACACAATAATTAGCAATATTATTTGAAAAAAATTTTGTTATATTGTATTTTTTGAAGACAAATATTTTTAACTTAAAATGTGCTATCTAAAAATTAGAAAAAAATTTTTGGTCTGAACTTTATTGATTATTTATCAATTTATGAATCTTAGTTTAATAAATAATAATTTACACGGAAAAGAATAATCGGTAGCAAATACCGATTATTTCCGATAGAGTTTACCGATTTTTTCGGTGCAGGCTACCGATTACCACACGGAGAGAATTTTATGTTAACGGTAACCATCCTTATTTTGTAGCTTCTACTATCCATGATAGTTATTAACTTTTGCAAAGTTAAGATGATAAATGAAACTACCCGGCGATTGTAATTATATAATTGATGTAGGTACTCAAATGAAAGGTCTCGATAAGTGTCATGTCGGGGTGAATTTATATCTTTAAAAATGTCAATAGTTTACAAGATACAAGGTCTTTTCTTAATTATTGATATTTTTAAAGATGTAAACTCATCCTGATGTCACACTCATCAAGAGCTTTCATTTGAGTACCCACATGCATTTTTGATATATTTTTGATATATACATATAGAGGAGGGGGGGGGCAAAATGGGGTACTTAAGAAACGGTTACGATTTTAACCCTTTAACGCTTCTGGGCGTTTCCCCCACTCTTGGTGGAACTGAGTGCCAATTCAGCGTTAAAGGGTTAAGGACTTAAATATGCTGATTTTTCTCGTTTTCAATCGTAATTGAAGGAAAATAATCAAATTTCAAGTTGCCGTGGAATAAAAAATTTTTTTTTTGCGGGCAAAATGGGGTACCCCTTGAAAAAGTGAAAAAATAATTTCAGTATCCGAAAATGAAATATCGTTAAAAAAAAATATTTTCTTGTCGATAAGTCTACGAAAGAACCCAAAGAGATGAACAAATCACCCAAAAATGAAACAATGTTAGTTGAAGCAATATACTCTAAACAAAAATTGAGGTAGCAAAAAAAAATTTTAAACTTTGTTCACAGAAAAAAAAATTTACTTGATTCGAGAGGAAAATTCTTGAACTAAGAAAATAATTTTGAAAAGGATAATTGTCTTGAATCAAGACGAAAAATTCTTGAATCAAGTAAAATTTAGTTAAACCAAGTAAAAAGAATCAAGTAAAAATTTTTTAGTTTAAGAATTTTTTTACTCAAATCAAGAAAATGAAGTTCTTCAAAATTATGTACTTAATTCAAGAACAATTTTTTTTCTGTGTAGTAATTTTTGAAGGGTTTCGCTTAAGTAAAAATAATATCAAGATAAAAAAAAATAGTTCTCTCGAGAGAACTCTTGAGAGAAGACTTTAGTTTTTGTATCTCCCGATGAAAAATTTTTTAGACTCTTAGTTTTTACGCAATTCCAAGCAATAGCACCAAAATAAAGATTCGTAATTTTTTTGCACTCTGTTTTTTGGTTTAGGGATTCAGAAAAATTTTTTCAAGTTGAATAATCTTGTAGGTCTAAAGATCTTACTTTTTAAATTGAATATCTCACAAGCATACCAAATGATTTTGAAGAAATTGTCGGCCTCTAATGCGGTTTTCTGGGCATTAATAGTTAAATTATAACATCAAAAATAATCCGAGAATAAATTTAGAAGTTATTTGAAAAAGATACTCTTTTAGAATGATTAGTTTACGATTTCTCTTCGACACATTACCCGACTTTGATGCGGTTTGCAGCAGTCAACGTCGTTTTTTAAATTTGAGAGCTGATTAGATTTTGGAATTAATCGTTAAATAAAATTAATCCTAAATATTCCTAAGTCTTTATTAAAATTATGGAGCAAAGAAAATGAATTTCAATCATAAATTCATTTTGAATCATAATTTTTTTTGCATGGGCTGTTTAAAAGCTGTTAAAACCAAAAGAAAAAAGTCATTTTAAATTTATGAGAAAATCTAAGTTTCGCTAAACCCTACCGAATGGCGCGAATGTCGTTCAAATCAGTGGAGCCACTCAAAAGTTATTAGAGGCTTACACTTACACACACACACACACACACACGCCAACAGATATCCTCATAGGACTATTAAGAACTACTACCTAGGACTTTAAAAATGTGAAGGTCAGATTAGAACTTGATTTTCGAAAACTGTCATGGAACCAATAACTCCCTCTTTTTTTTTTTTTTTTTTTTTAATTCATTCATTTGTAAAGCGAGAACTTAAAAATTTAGAAAAAGAAATCTTAAATGTGAAAAAAAAATTTATTATAATCCACAATGACGATCAAAGTTACTGTAAAAAAAGTTAGAAAAAAAAAATTTTTTTTGATTTTTAAATTGAAAAATTTTTTTTTCTCTTAAATTATAGGAAATGATGTTAAAATATATGTTAGAAAGCTGAAAGAGCTTTTTGGAAAAAAAAAATTTTTTAACGAAATTTTGGGGGTACCCCATTTTGCCACCCCTACCCCATTTTGCCCCTCCCTCCCCTATATAATATATATAAATATATAAAATATATGAAAAATTGATGTGGGTACTCAAATGAAAGGTCTCGATGAGTTTAATGTCGGGATGAACTTATATCTTTAAAAATGTCAATAGTT